TTGTTTGACAAATGAACTCTTGCAAATATTTAGGAATTAACATCCATCTTTCACAAACTCTTCAGGGAACACTTCCAGTTCCTTTTATAGGACCAATATAACCTTGACTCAAAAACATGACAATATTTCAAGAAAAAAATTAATAGAGCAATTTCTCTCTTAAGCGTAAGTGCAAAAACCCTAAAATAAATGTGAATCCAGGAAATATAATCAATCCCAAACAAAATGTGAATCCAGCAATATATAAAAATGACAAGCTTCATGATGAAAAGGGGTTTATTCCATAAATGCAAGGTTGGTTTAGCATTTAAGAATCAATAAATATAATTCATTGTGTTAAAAGATAAAAGAATAATTATGTGATATTTTCAGACGCAGAAAAAACATGGTAAAATTTAACATCCACTTATGATTAAAAAAAAACTTAGTGAATTGGGAGTAGAAAGGATCTTCTTTAATCTGATAAAGCATAGCTACAAAAATTTTATATTGACATCATACTTAACAGTAAAATATTAAAAACTTTTCCCCTGAAATCAGGAATGAGATAGAAATTCTCACTATCACTACTTTTATTCAAATTTATACTAGAGACTTTGTCCAGCGTCATAAGGTAAGAAGAAGAAAACTAAAAGATATAAGATGGGGAGAAGCCAATGTCATTGTTTGCAGGTGTCATGATAGGATGCATAGATAATCCAAGGACTCTATATAAACAAAGGATTAGAATTAACAAATGAATTTTGCAAAGTCACTGGGAACAAGGTCAATATCTAAAAAAGCCAATTGTATTTGTATATGCAACATCCAGAGTATGAAATAAATTTTTAAGTGTTGTTTATAATAATATTAGAACACATTAACCAACTAGGAGTAAACCTAAGAAAAGACATATAAGACCTCTCCACAGAAAATCATAAACTATTTTCAAGAGAAGATACAGGGATCCACCACACTCATGAGTTGTAAGTCTCAATATTTTAAGACAGCAAACCCCCAACTTGCTCCCTGGAGTCAGTATCATCATAATCAATATCCCAGCAGCTAGTTTGTGAAATTTAACAAGCTACTCCTAAAATTTATATTGAAAATGCAAAAGGCCAATAATGATGAAATCAGTCTGGAAGAACAACAAATTGGGGACTTATACTAGCAGGTAGAAGAACATATAATAAATCTACAGTAATTAAAATAGTGTGGTATTAGCATAAGGATAGACAAATAGACCAGTGGGATAGAAGTCTGTCCATTGCAGTAGCCACTAGTCACATTGGCAGTTTACGTTTAAATTAATTTCCTCAGTTGCACTAGCTGCATTTCACATGCCCAGTAGCCACGTGTGGCAAGTGGTTGCTGCAATGGACACCACAGGTAGAGAACATTTCCGTCACTAAAGAAAGTTCTATTGGACCATGCTGCTTCAGAGACAGATTCACCATAAATGGAAATAAGATGTTTGACAAAGGTGTCCCTGAAGATGAGTAGAAAAGAACAGTCTTTTCAATAGTCTTGGTCAGATGATAGCCATCTTTGAAAAATGAATCTCAAGTCCTACCTCACTTCACACACAGCAATCAATTCCCTGTGGGTTCTGAGTCTAAATGCAAGAGGCTGTGGAACCTTCATGCAAGGGAGTAACATCCAGCAATGGAAATGAATGAAGTGCTGGGAACAGGCTGAACCTCAACACCAAGGGTGAATCTCACAAACAGTATGAGATCACTTGGAGCCAGAAATAAAAAAGAACAAGGTGTATGGTTTCCGTTTACATGAAGTTCAAAAGCAGGCAGAAAGAACTCTACTGTTGGATAGCAGCTACCTTTGAGAGAGGGGAGGTGACTGAAGGCTGCCCACATGGGCTTCTGAAGTCCTAGGAATGTCCTCTCTCTCGAGTGGGCTGTGTCTACAGGAGGGTCCAGTCTTCATCAGCATCTTCTGTGCACTTTTCTCTATGGGTGTTATTTAAAAATGTTTTGTAAAGCAACCCTTGGACTGATACGGAAAAAGAAAGGTAATTCTTGCTGACTGAATGATTTTAAAAAGTGAAGATTCTGTCTAAAATGTTTAGATAGGCAACAATTTTAAGTCTGAAAGTATCAGGTATAGGGTATGGAGAAAGGGAGATATTACTGGTAGGAGGGCCAATTAACATGTGTTGTAAAGTTGGAAAGGTGTGCACCTTGCAACCAGACAGTTTTGCTTCCAGACACAAATCCTAGAGAAATTCTTGCTCATGTGCACAAGGAGACATGGGCAACAGTGCTCATTTCAGGAAAGTTTATAATAGAGGAAAAAAAAGAATAATTGAAGTAACCAAAATGCCTAACAGAAAAATGGATAAATAAAATGTGATTTTTTTTATAAAGTGAAAAAAAAAAAGTAAAAAGAAAAAATATATATATATATATATATATATATGCAAACATAATCACAGAGCTCTAAAAATACTGTAATGGATGAAAAAAGCAAGTTGCAGAATATGTTTAACATATATATGGACATTTTTAAAGTATAAAACAGGTCTAGATATTATTCTCTGATGCATGCATATGTCACTCAATTTTTAAATGGCTGCAGGATACACTGGGCACCGAAACCGTGATAGCAGCGGCCTCGGGGCGGGGGGGGGGGGGGGGGGCCGGGGAGGAGACCGAGATTGAGGATGGGGACAAATTGTCACATGGAAACTGTCCCTTTGTTTTCATTGTTCTGTTTCCTTTTTTTTTTTTTTTTTTTAAGCAAACATGACAAAATGTTAACATTCTAGGTGTTGACTTGCAGGATGTTAGTCAGATTATTCCTTGTAATTTTCTCTTTGTTTAATTTCTCAATAAGAAAAAAATAGAGCTGACATAATAGCACCTTCTGTCATTTAGTCTTAGACTTATTTATTGTTTAGATATTTTATGTTCCTGTTTGTTGTAAGAAAAAAATGTATATAAATATAAGTTTAGCCGAGACATCTAAATTTCCTCTCTTTGTTTATGTTTGCAAAGCATACTTGTTTGATTTAACATTCTCTGGTATCAAAATGTGTCCTTTGTGCGAGCTTGTGAGGAGTAAATCATGAGGGCTCACAGTCCCACCACAGTCTGTGTATTAAGAACGCATTTCCTACGATAGACATCCTCTGCGCCTCGATCTCGGCAAGCATCCGTTTGTATTGGAGCCAAAATATCCACAAGCAGGCAGAGAAACAAGAAGTCAAAAAGATCTGCTGTTTGGTGCTAAGGATTTGTTGGTACATGATTGTGAAGACTGAAGGTCTAAAACCACCGATGTTTATTGGCTCCGTCTCCAGTATGTCCCTCCAGGGTCATTTCCACAAGACTGACCAGAAGAACAGGACCCTGCCTTTTCCCCCACAAACAGTGCTTCCCGCAGGAAGCCCTGGGCAGCAGCACAGGAGGCCGGTTTGGCAGGGAGGAGGGTCAGAGTCTTTATGACAGGATGGTGGACAAATGGGCTAGCCGCCATGGCGGACAGCGGGTTGTTCCTGACATAGCACACACACACATAGCTATTAGCCCTTGGGTGGGTGGTCTGGGAGCCTTTGGAAATACACCCAAGGTGATTTGCTGTGACCATGTTTGAAAAGTTGACAGGTAAATGTGGACTGAAAACAGACTAGATATTTTAGAGTTAGGCCCCAAATCGAGGCTTTTAAACATGCACAGGTATGACTGAGGTGGGGACCTCCATATCTTGTCCTCACAGATAGACCAGGTCTTTTTTTTTTTTTTAAGATTTTATTTATTTATTAGAGAGAGAGCACAGCGGGGTGAAGGGCAGAGGGCGAGGGAGAAGCAGACTCCCCACTGAGCAGGGAGCCCAACAAGGGGCTCAATTCCAAGACCCTGGGATCATGACCTGAGCTGAAGGCAGACACTTAACCAAATGAGCCATCCAGGCGCCCCCTCCACCAGGGTGTTTAACTAGAGTAGAACTCAGGTCTTGCTTGCTGCACCTTATTCACTCTTCACAAGCAGGCCACAGAGGGAGCTATCCAAAAGAAGGAACTGAGCATGCTCATTTCAGACCTTTTGTCTGTCTAATTTTAGGGCCAGCCTTCCCCCAGGATATATGTAAGCACTCAGGTCTGCTCTCAGTTCCGAGGGAGCCCAGTGGGTGTCCCGCAAGATCAGTGATGAGTGATTTAGTCTTTCTAAGTCAAGGGTCAGTTAGTAGAAAGGCCTCTCTGCCACAGATCTGAAGCTATCTTCTCTTCAGTCAACTTTATCAGTAACAAAGGCAATTATTTTTAACTCCGTCTGGTCTCCACCTTTCAGTTGGTTCCAAATTCAAGAAGGTGGGGGAGTAGGTACTATTAACTGCTCCCCTCAAAAACCTAATAGTCAATTAGTATAAGACCCCAAGATGATAAATTAAGGTAATCCAAGAATTTGTATACCAATTCATTCTTACACCCATAATTATCCTGTTTGAATAGTTAACTGAGCGTTGCTCAGTTAGTTTTAGATTTCATCAGTGTGGTTAAACAAATAAATATAGTACTATTAATCATGGCATGACTGAACTCTCATAGCTTGAGAGAGACTCCATTAAAATGTACATGTTATAATCTATTTCATTATCTACATAGGGATAAGTATATATAGAAAATGTATTCATCTAATCTGATCATTTAACAGCAGAAAGAAAAGAGGCACACACAGAAAACAACCTACCCTGCTATAACGGAACTCTGTTTTACATAGGGCCAGCTGTACATTGGCAGAACATAGTGATTTTAAGGATGAATTAGTGTTCTAATCTCATTGGGATTCCCTTTATATTTGTGGTGGTTTATGACTGATGTTTAATGGAACTATAGCTTTCTGTTTATATTTAATAGAAGATTCATTTCTGTGGTGGGATACACATTTACACTCCAGAGTTGAATAAAAGCTACCATTCTACAAGGAGGATATTAAGTGTTGATTTATAATGACACATTTCAATAACAGTGACCTAAATGCTTCCACACTGTTTCTTCCCAGGTCCTGGGAAGAGCCTAGCTCCAGCAAAGGATGATTCTTCTCATCCGGAACATTTCGCCTTCAACACATCTCTCCATGCTGCAATTAGACACAGGAATTGGAAACTTCTCACTGGCTACCCAGGTAGAATGCTGAGCATTTCCCCCCAGAACAGCGAGGAAAATTTTACCAAAGTGATGACTGCCTTTTGCAGAACATACCTCTGGGGCTGCTGAATGAGGAATGGTTTGATCTCCTGTCCTGACAAAAGAAGACTGAGCATTAACTGTAGGTGGGGGGTGAAAGGAAGCAATGTCACTGTAATGTGTCGTGGAAAATAAGGATTTCAGAGATGTGTGGCTGTCGCGCACAGCTCGTCTAGCCAGCAAGGAAAATCTCTGAAAGCTACATCCTCAACCAATTGCAGAGCTGAAGGAGGTGGTTGCTTCCCCTGAGCACATTCTCTAAAAGTGACGTCTTTTACATACTTTTAAAATGTGGGTTGTGATGGCTAAGACTGTGATGCCATTAGCAGTGTTTATAATGATGACATTCTTGGCATTTGTGGCCAGATAATTCTTTGTCTGGTGGTGCGCCGTGTATTGCAAGATATCTTAGCTTCCCTGGCCCATGAGCACGGTATGCCAGTAGCAGCTCCCCTAAGTCACTGTGACAACTGAAAATTCCCCCGCCCCCACCCACACGCACGCACTTTCCTGGAAGCCCCTGGTTGTGAAGCCCTGAACCATGTCTGGTTAAAGCACCAGAAGTCAGAGACTGAGATAGATGTTGGTACAGCGTCAAGGGCCGCATGTTTGTCATGTGTTCCTGCCCACGTCCCCACTCAGCCTTCTCCCCCAGTCTCCTTCCTTGAAGTGCGAACCTGCCTATGATGCTTCTCCCCCAGTAAACTCTTGCATTTCTTTGCCAGGCTGTGGTTGCTGGTTTCCTCCACCGTCTCAAAACAATGTTTCTGTGATACCCTCATCGGACCCACCGACCAAGACCCTCTGGCTCTTTGATATTGACCAGGACCCAGAAGAAAGACATGACCTGTCAAGAGACCATCCCCATATTGTCAGGCAGCTCCTTTCCCGTCTGCAGTTCTACCACAAACACTCGGTGCCCGTGCACTTCCCGGCGCAGGACCCGCGCTGTGACCCCAAGGGCACTGGGGCCTGGGGCCCATGGATGTAGGACTTCTGCAGCCCTGGGGAGCCAGACCACCTTTCTGGTACAAGTTGGACTGCAGGCCTTTACTCCTGTACCTCTTGTCTCATTTGCTCTCCCAGCCTGGGTTCCCCTGGCCCTTCTCTTGTTCCTCAGCCACGCTGAGGTGTCTCGTTGCAACCCCCAGTGCATTTAAGAAGCTGATAAAACCTGGAACACTCCTGTTGTTGGCCAGGGTGTGTGTCTAGGGGAGAGGGTGGCTGAGTTCAATCTCTTGTTCCTGAGCCATGGGACAGCTAGGGACTTGACTTGGAATAGGAGGTTCTCACTGAGTCCTGGAGGCTGTACAGCTGGCTCTTTTTGCCTCGCAAGTCAGATGTTAGATCTCCCTCTGCCAATAGCTGGGTTTTATTGGAGTGCCTCATGTTTCTTGTAACAAATGTAGGGAGCAGACAGCTTTTAATGGTTCTGTTGGCCAGGGGATCTCCCTGTCTGTGAGCTATCATGTTCAGGCATTCCATGTGAATAACCCCCCTTGGTTCACCCCTCACTTACTCACCCTGTCACTCATCTCATCATGGAGCGTAAGGCCCATTTCATAGTTACGGTCAGCATGGCAATATGCCTGCTTCTTGGTTTTGGTTATTACAATAAAGAAATGTGTTTTTATCCCCAGTTTTTTTTTTTTTTCCAGCCACTGCTCATTTTGCCTAGACTTCCTGCTACCCCCTCTCCCCTGTGGTTCTTTTCCTAACCTCCTTTTGACTCAGGCATCCTGTGCCTGGGAAGGCTGCTTCGCCTCTCCACTCTGAGCACCACTGGTTTTTGGAAGACGGCTGTGCCCTATCTTCCTTCTGTCGCTAACACTGAAGCTAAGAGCCCTGCCCAGAGAAGGTGGTCGAGTCTGGCTCTGCAGGCATGCTCATGGTGGACAAGAAGTGGCCGAGTGTCATTAACAAGTCTGTGTCATCCGTTTGGTGAAGACTTTTCTAAGTTGCAGAGTTTATTTTCATGATCATGGCTTTGTCTCATAATGTATTATGAGTTGCATGCTATTCCCTAGCAATTAGGAGAAACCCCAGGAAACAGTAATTTTGTCTTGGGATGATGGAAGTGGGCAGTTTGAAAGGAAATGGCCAGCATCTGAGATATTGGGCTTCAGTAAAGCAAAGGAGAGCACACCCACGTTTCCCTTACTTTCACTTCTACTGCTTGTGTTGAGGTTCTGGGGTGGGGGAAAGAGGATGCACAGTTTGACCTGCCAGCCCTTTCGCAGTCCCACTGATGTCCTACTAATGTGGATCTGTCCAGATTAGCTCTCAAGAATGTCACACTCAGACTCAGTTTTGCTGTGTGCAGAAACTATACTCTTTTTCCCATGAGCTCCACTGTTTTGTTCACTGCTCGTCACCAATGCCTGGATCAGTGCCTGTTACAAAGAAGGTAGTCAGTACTTTTTTTTTTTTTTTTTTAATGAATGAATGGACAATTGAACAAAAGAGAAAGTCGCACACCATGCAAGTGCAGTGAGCTAAACACATCCTCCAACTGTTGCGTTTCTGTTCTCAAGCTGCCCTCCTGGGGTAGGAACAGAATTTGCATATCTGGATGGTCACAGACACTCCGTAGTGAAGCCATAATGTCCTCTCCAGGAGAGAAAAGGGGAAACACACCTGCCAAAGATACTCTTTTGGCAATAATCCTCCATTCTCTTCTTTGTAGGACACTAGAAACTAAAACCAGCCAACAATGTGCTATGGGTCCTTGTGTAGCCATCCTTCAATTCAGTAACAATATTTTCTGGTCACCTCTAATATGTATTGTATTAAAATAAGATGATTGGAAGGAAATGGTGCTAGAACTAAAGACACCTATTATCAACCTCTACCCCGCTCCTGGGTTGGCAAACGGTCAAAATGCCATCACCTACCACCCCCACACCTGTGGCAGATACTATGAACTAACTGAGCCCAGATGTTCCTCTGGATCCTTCTAACCACAGTGTCTATTAATACCAGAAGACTAGAGGCCATCACTACATGACACCTGTTTACCCTCCCTGCTGTGCTCCCAGGGCCGCCCCAGTTCTAGTCTGTTGGTGGCCAAGTACAACATGGATGTTCTGCACTCAGTGGATTTAAAGGGAGTTGTAAAAACTACTTGTTGTAAAACTTTTATTTGATACTTTATTTTATCCATAATAGAATGTATCTCATTAGGTTTCTTTATTCTGTTATAAGGATGTGAACAGATTCATATTAATGTTGTTTCTCTCCAAATTCGCTCACCTTTAAAGAATAGTTTTATTGATTTAATGGTTTTTCTTTGTTACTACATGATTGTTCCAGATCTGGGGAACAGAAAGTTACTTTATCCTTTAAAATGTGTCAATGGGGAGTTTCCATTTGAGTGGTGAAAAAGTTCTGAAACTGGACAGTGGTGGTGTTGGCACAACATGCCTCTGAATTGTATACTTTAAAATGGTTAAGATGATAACTTTTATGTGGTTTTGCCACAATTTTTTAACGTGTTGGCCCATTTTATGGTATGTAAATTACATCTCAATAAAACTGTTAAATAAATAAACGTAGCAAAAATATCAGAACTGAAAAAAACACGCCAGTCATTTGCCCCAAGAGTGCAAACTATAAAATAAGTTATTGAAGGGAGGTCAGGAGAAGGTAGGAGTGAATATAAAGTGAGAATAAGAGAGTGTGTTTGTTCTCTGTTGCTGTATAACAAATTACTGCCCAATTTAGCAGCATAAAACAATAAACATTTATTACTTCCCACACTATAGGGGGGTCAGGGCTCTAGGAGTGGTTTAGCTGGGTGGTCCTGGCTCAGGGCCTCTCATGAGATTATAGTCAAGCAGCTGGCCTGGGCTGCAGTCATCTGAAGGCTTGTCCGGGGCCAGTGGATCCCCTTCTAAGATGACTCAGTCACAAGGCTCTTGGTTGGAGGCCTGTGTTCCTCGCCCTGTGGGCTTCCCCACAGGCTGCTTGAATAGCCTCACACATGGCAGGCAACCTCCAGTGGAGCAAGTCGTCTGGAGAGACACAGAGCAAGAGGAGGTTACCGTGTGCCTTAATAACTCCACCTCCAAAGTGCTACCGTGTCACTTCTACCTTTTTGTGCTTCCTTAAAAATGAGTCACAAAGTCCAACCTTTACACAAGTGAGGAGAATTTAGGTCCTGCCTTTTGAAGGAAGTGTCAGATATGTGGACATATTTGATACCACCATGGACAACAGAGGAGAATGGGCGAATGGAGCCCCCTGGGGAATAGATTGTCTGATCAAGGCCACATGCATTTATCAAATTCTGGTAGTTGAAGATAGATGGGAGAAAAAGCATCCAACTTTGCTATTTAGTGGTTAGAAGGACCATGGACTAATCATTTAACCCTCTCTACGCCTCAGGGTTTTTTACTGGTAGGGTGATGGGTGGGTTGAATTGAGTAGATACGTTTTGCCCAGAACAATGCCTGACACATAGTATATGTTAAATAGATGGTGGTTGACTGACTCTCAGAGGACTGAATTCCAGTGTAAGAATGTGAAATAAAACTGTGCTGGGGCACCTGGGTAGCTCAGTCAGTTAGGCACCCAACTCTTGAATGTGGCTCAGGTCATGATCTCAGAGTTGTCAGATCAAGCCCTATGTCGGGCTCTGCACTCAGCAAGAAGTCTGCTTGAGATTCTTTCTCTCTCCCTCTGCCCCTCCCCCGCCAACTCTCTCAAATAAATCATAAAAAAAAAACTGCTAAAAATAGCCTGAGACTGTGCTCCATCTTGGAAAACATTCGTTTCCTAAAAATATTTAAAAAACTAATTTTTTGAATGCTTACTATATTCCAAGTATTGTACAAGGTGCTTTAAAAGAATTATCTTGTTGCCCAAGAAAAATAAAGGCAATTTTCTTCTTAAGAAAAAAATAAAAGAATTATCTCGTTTAATATAATTTTAAACTAACCAGAGGTAATGTTTATAAAATCTGTTCAATCTTAATTATAAAAGACATACTTGGTTTTCACCCCCCTTACGTTTTAAAAATATCCAATCTTTATCCAAACATAATTACTTAAATCAAGAAAATAAGAAGAGGGGCACCTGGGTGGCTCCGTTGTTAAGCATCTGCCTTCGGCTCAGGTCATGATCCTAGGGTCCTGGGATCAAGCCCCATGTCGGGCTCCTGGCTCAGCAGGAAGCCTGCTTCGCCCTCTCCCACTCCCCCTGCTTGTGTTCGCTCTCTTGCTGTGTCTCTCTCTGTCAGATGAATGGATAAAATCTTTAAAAAATAAATAAATAAATAAAAGAATTATTTTGTTTTTTTTAAAAAGTTCACCAGAGAAATATCCCGTGTCAATCAACAAACAAATGGATAAACGAATATTATTCAGCCATAAAAAGAAGTGGAGTTCTGATACATGCTTCAACATGGGTGAACCTTGAAAATATTAAACTACAAAGCCAGACACAAAAGGGTAGATATTATGTGATTCCACTTACGTGAAATGCCAAGAATAGGCGAATTAACAGAGACAGAAATTAGATTAGAGGTTACCAGGGGCTGAGGGGAAGGAAGAACTGGAGCTATTACTCAATGGATAGAGTTTCTTTTGGGGTGATGAAGACATTTTAGAAATAGCGGTGATGATTGCACAATAGTGTCACTGTAATTTTTTTTAAAGATTTTATTTATTTATTTGAGAGAGAGAGAGTGAGAGAGAGCATGAGAAGGGAGAGGGTCAGAGGGAGAAGCAGACTCCCCGCTGAGCAAGGAGCCCGACGCAGGACTCGATCCCGGCACTCCAAGATCATGACCTGAGCTGAAGGCAGTCGCTTAACCAACTGAGCCCCCCAGGCACCCAGTGTAACTGTAATTAATGCCGTTAAATCATACACTTAAGGTTGGTTAAAATGACAAATTTTACATATATAGAAATTTATATAGAGAGAAATGACAAATTTTATAGAGAGAGAGAATTTATCTCCTATATATAGAATTCTATATGTAGAATATAAATTCTATATATATATATAGAGAGAGGGGGAGACACAGAGAATGGAGTTTAGGTCCTCCAACCTACCAATATAGCTGCACTTTTAGTTCTTTCATAGATTGGACTCCCGTATAAGACAAAACTAACATGGTGAGAGAAGTCACAAAATTCTTTCCTTGGGGAGAAGGAGTACTGACTGGGAAGGAGCATGATGAAACCTTTCGGGGTCCAGAAGATGCTCTGTATCTTGGTCTGGGTGGTCTTTACATGGCTGTATCCATATGTAAAAATTCACTAAGAAGTATGCTCAAGTTTTGTACTTTATGGTTTATATGTTATACCTAATTAACAAGTACTTTAAAATAACACCTGCCCTTAGAGCAAGAGAGCACTACATATTTATCTCATGTTACCCAAATGTGCTTGGAAACCTGCAAATAATTGTAAAGAAAACATTTTACATGCTGCAAAGACATTCACTATTTGAAGAAGCCTTTTTGTGATTCCTTTTGTAAACACAAATTTAGGTTTTTGTGTTTATCAAACCTGAACGCATCGATTTGGCATTCCTCAATTGAGATTTTGCTCCCCTGCGTTTCCTGAAGGGTTCTCCCCTACGTGTTGGTGCTGTGGGGAGAGGTGCAAAGACCAGGAAATGACGGGAGTGAAACTGCAGGCCTGACCTCTGCCCGAGGCTTATGATCCAATTCTGTAGGACCAAGTTCTTTCCAGCTTAACAGTTGTTAAGAACATCCCAGCCAATACTAAACATATTGAAGTAGTTGTTAGTCTTCCTAGGCACCATTTAAACTTTAAAATTGATTTTTCTCTTTTTTTTTTTTTTTTCCACGTGTAGAATAGCCTGAGCTTGAGCAGATTGGTTCATTTTCAGGTGGTCAAATGATCTGCTCACTCTGGCCGCTGTCCTTACCGACCGCCGAGAGCAGGTAGGCTTGAACGGCTGCGGAGGTGCCAACCCCGTCTCTTTCAACTTTGCCCCATTGCCACGAGAGCCACCCACCAGGTGGCACAAAGCAGAGGAGAGGTGACTCATGCTGCCCGGGGCCTGACTTCAGGACTTCTGACCATCAGGAAACTGGAAGGGCAATTTCTTTCTCAAACTAATTCACCCAAGTAATAAATCATTGAGCCTAAGATATTTCATTCAATAACCTGTATTATTTGTCTGACGGTAGAGGTAACACATACCACTGTAACAATTTTAGAAAATACAGAAAATTAGACAAGCCATAAAGCAGCCACCAACAGACACACCACTAACCTTCTTTCATACCTCTTTTTAAAGAAGTGTGAAGAAAAAAAAAAGAGCAAGGAAGTGGCCCACCTCCCAGATTGGCTTTCAAATCCCACTGTGCCCAGCTGAGCCCTCACTGGAGACTAAGATGGTAGACAAATAAAATGTCACCTGTTTTGAAACTCCTCATTTTAATCCCATTAAAGTAGAGATCTTCCCAGGGTTTTTTCTCCAAGAGGACATGATTTCACACACACTTCACACAAACATACGATCTTTCTCTCTCTCTACACCCACTCTTCTCCGTAGGCCTCAAGAGGTGAGGGCCTCCACACACAAGGGACTTTGTGCAATCAATCAAACCGGCAAGCAGGCGCCTGCCTCCAGACCAGAGTCTTGCGCGGCGTGAGGCAGAGAGCATCAGCGCGCACACCCTCCTCCCGTCCTTGGGAAAACCGGTCTTTCTGTGCCTTTGTGTGCATTAAGTGAATCAGAGCTGGGATTGCCGCTTACGCCAGGGTCTGTAGCTGGGATCGTTCAAGTCCACATGTGATATGTGGTGGGCGTGAGGACAGGACACTGACATCAGCAAGGAGGAAGGGTGGGTGAGATCAGACCCCTCCCCCCCCAGTAAAGTTCACCTACCAGGGAACTCCACCAGCAGGAGGAGGTAGTCCCAGGGCAGGGCTGGAAAGCAGAGGTGAGGAGGAGGGGGCTCTAGAGTCTGAGGAAATGCAGCTTGACGTTTGCCAAGAGGATTCATTTAACTGTAATTTTTGCTTTGGATCTATGCACCCATGAAAGCAGTAAGTTCTTTGTGAGTGAGCTATTTTTAAAATTAAACCCTTTGATTAGAGAGTCCTCTGAATCTGTTACAGAAACAGCTGGTTTGTTTGAAGAATGTTCCTTGTTTGGACGTCCCGAGAGTGTGCTGGTTTTTCTTGGTTCTTAGGCCAGGGCTTAAATGAAAGTGTTTGGGCTTAACACGTACCGGGGGTGGAAATCGGTGGCTCCCACGTCCAGGACTTCAGGACAAGTGAGACAGGAGGGCCTGTCTCACTGGGACCCACATGTGTTCTGTCACTGAGCTCCACCTACTCCTCTCCTCCCGCAAAGCAGCTGGAGCTCCCTGGGCACCCAGTGCCCGAGGTGCCTCCTAGCAATCCTCTGTGAGACCCCACCCAGGACTCTGTTGCTCACTTAGGGCTTTTCACTGCTGAGGGTCCTAACATGGTACTTTTCCTTAAATGTACACTCTTCACTGAAATAATGTAAAGTGATGCTTTTTTATCACTATGCTAAAGAGAAAATGAGTGTCATTGGTAATCATAAAAATACAT